CGTTAGATTTGATTGTTTATGTAAAAAAATAAATAAATAACTTCGTCGAGATTTGATTTTGATCAATCATAAATATGTATTGCATACATGAATTAAAAGAAGAATATATTAAAAATAATAGAATAAAATATATTTTAACAAAATTCTTTTCAAATGTAGTAACGGTATTAAAATTCAACAAATTTATTAAAATAATTATAAAAAAAAATTGAATACGCATTTTTTTCTGTTCAAGAAATAATTTTATAATTTTTTTCACCATAAATTTTTAACCAGACACAATTTCTTATAAAATGGATAGTTAATGTAATTTATTTTATATTTAATTCATGATTTTACAGAAGCTTATAAATAAAAGGTGTAAAAAAAAAAATGTCACATACAGTTTGGTATCGCGGATAAAGCTCAAACTGAAACGAGATACACCCTGTAGTTGTCTTCAACCTTAAACCAATCAAAGAAAAGGCAGAGCAAGAACCAAAACTCTCACTTCTTCGTCCATTTCTATTCATTTTTTAAATGAAAAAAGCGAGAGTAAGCATGGGTTTGGATGAAAATTCCCGGCTTTTTGGTAAAGTTTGGGTAATTTTGCTGGTAATTTTCGCGCCGGTTTCTGTCAAATCGGAGGACTCAATCTACGACCATCTCCGCCGGCAGGGCCTCCCCATCGGCCTCTTCCCCAAAGGCATAACCGATTTCTCCGTCGACACCAAAACGGGGCGTTTCACCGTCAACCTAACCCGGCCTTGCAACGCCAAATACGAGAACCAACTCCATTACGATTTCAACATCTCGGGCCTCCTAAGCTACAGCAAAATTGGGGAATTATCCGGTGTCACGCAGCAGGAGCTCTTCCTCTGGTTCCCTGTTAAAGGGATACGTGTCGATGTCCCTAGCTCCGGTTTGATTTACTTCGATGTCGGCGTTGTTGACAAGCAATTCTCTCTTTCCCTCTTTGAGTCCCCTCGTGATTGCGCTGCCGTCGACCCTGATCCTTCCTTTTCCGACGAGTTTCAGGTACTTTTTCTTTTATCTTTTATCCTTCTTCCACCTGCACGACTTACTTTTCTTTCCAATTCTATTGATTTTTCTTTTTCTGGTACCAAAAACCCTATGGGAAATGTTGGCAGGTGAGTGTTTCTTTTTTTTTTTTTTGAATGAATTGGGTTGTATAGGATACAATTGAACTCACGAGCATAATCCTGTTCATAAGATTTTAGACTAGCAATTAATTTATGTTGAAAATTCTGGATTTGATTCTTTAATTTGGAAATGTGAAGAAATTTCTCTATATTCCCCCTTGATTAATGATTTCTCATTATTGTCGCTAGTTGAATATTGTTATATTTGATTAAGACTAGATAATTGAAACTAATAATTTTTGAACTTTCAGAGTCTTTATGAGAAGATTGGATACATCACTCGCCGAGGGAATGCATTGAGGGCTGTTTCATAGATCTTTTTCTGGCAAGATATGGTAGTTGACTTCTGTCCTTCTCATTTCTCATAAAGATTGTTAGAGAGTTTGGATTGAGAGATCCTGTCATATTACGAGTAGGTGTGCATGCTTGTTCTGTTGTACAGAGTTCTTGACCTTATACTTCTGTCCTCCTGAAGACCTATAACAATTTTACTGAAACAAGAAGATGTGAGGTAATGAAATCTACTTTCGCAGAAGGTTGAGACAGAAGTGTTTGGTCAAGTAATAAATTTACTAGATATTTGTGCTTCTTGATTATTATCATAATGTTATACATGTGGATGTTTGAGTGTTGTGTTGTGTTTATGTAAATGGAGAGAGAGTTTGGTGCTTTTGTACTGCCATCAAACATTTTGGTTGAATATATGAACTTTGTCTGCCAAAATGTACTGCTAACTGCATTTGTAGTTTTGCTTGCTTAGTTACTTCTTGATTGGTGATGAAAAAAGTTAGGTTAGTTTTCTTTTACTGAGTAAAAGGATTCATGTAATATTTGGTTTAGTGGGTTTATACTCGCTCCATTTTCTTTTCAGTAACCTCTGTTTAGCTATGATGAAAATTGTTGTATGGATTTCTTGATTCAGCTTATTTACTCCATCTCAATCACACGTTACCCATGTGAAAATGGGTCTTTTTGGTGGTTTGCCTTTGAGTTTGCCTCTCCGAAACTTGCTGTTATCGAGTGAGCTTTTCAGTCTATGGGGATTGGCATTTGAGAAATGAGTTACAGCCACATTTAGTTACAGTTTCACAGTGAAACTTCTCCACACTTTTACAGTGAGGCAGACATCTCTTTTAGTTTTACAGATGATTTCCTGTGTCAACTCTTCCTCTTGGTTTTCACTTGGAGACACCAAGGTGTCAACTTTTTCCTTGTCTTTTCCAAAGAGTTCTGAAACTCCATTGATAAGCTGCAAGTTTTGGCCACAGAGGTCGCAGGCGAGCATGTGGGTACTATATGTCTCCTTTTGCCCCTTAGCCCTAATCAACCCTCTCCCTCTTCCTTCTCTCGGATTTCAGTTTCAAAAGGGCTAAGGTTTTGGTGATCTTTTATTTCAGCTTGACTCTACAGTCTTTCTTGTCTTCTCCTTCCTTTTGGTGTAAGAAATGCACAGGCTCTGTTCATTTGTCTCTCCTGCAACAGTCTGATCTGTATGCTGTGCGAGCATCCTTGTCTTGTCGTCACCTCCATCAGGTGATCATTGTCGTGTGATCATGGACAAGCAATTACCATCATGTTTCCGCCTCCATCAGGCAACCATTAAGCAACAGAAATAGACCCCTTCGCTTCTGTTTTCACTACATCCAAGATGGAAGCCTACCTCGTCAGTTGAAAATGTTGTCGTTCCACATGGGCTCGGGTTGGGCTCCTCCATGGGGCAGACTTCAGATAAAACTGAGTCCAGAAGAAAAAATTCCAATACCAAAGGCACATATAGTCCTGTATTTTTTTTTTTTTTTTTGCCACTTTCTAATCACTTGAAAATTCTTTAAATAAGCTAATTAAGTATTTATAGTTAATTTTCTCAATTTTATTGTTTTTTAATTTTTAATAAAAATATTTGCACATTATAGGATGGGCAAAATCAGGTATGACACCTAAGAAATGTAAAATATAAATAATCACAATTGAAAACAAGATGTATTAACAAATTCTGAGCATAACAGGTACACTGTATTTTTATGTGTTAGAAAAAAATCCATCTCTATGTAAATCAGTATATTGAATGCTCCAACATCAATCAATATATTACCTTTAGAAATTAATGTTATGAAAAAAAAATAATAATGAAAAACATAAAATGCCTTACTCTGAGAAATAAGTTTAAAAGCTACACTATACTTTAAAAAAAAGGTTTAAAGCTTCACTTCTTTGAGAATAAAGTGTTAAAATTACCTTTATTAAAGAAAAATAATCCATGATCTGTCTGTTGATAGTCATTACCCTAGAAATCACCACTTGCAAATTGTTCCTCAAGCTCTTGTTATAAGGGATTACCATTTTTCATGCTATGAACTAACCATCACAGACAACAATGGAAGAGAGCAAAGGATCAGAAGCACCGTTAATGATCGCACCATTGCTTCTAACATACAGAAGATAATCCAAAGCTTCCTTAGTAATCAATTCACCAGGAATCACTAAAGGAATCCCAGGTGGATAAGGACATATAAGCTCCCCACAAACCATTCCAACACTCCTCAATTTTCATTTTCCTTTTACTTGAAAAGAATGCGTCCCTTGGGTTTAAGCTGATAGTAATATCAGCAAAAGGTGCCAAATTTTCAGAAGCCACTTTCTCTTCAATTTTCTGAATAGATATGCAAGTTGCTGATAAGTGCTCCATTCCTCTCACTAACCTTTCAATGTGATCCTGACAAGTCCCAAGGTTGATGGCAAAAGTAGTAGACCGGGTTCCAAAAAGTTCACAGATTATGCTTCCATACGAGTACAGAATTTCATCTGCTTCATGACCAGATAGACCAAGCTGCCAAAACCCAGTAGTAAGCCGCAGAGGATCAATTGCAGGGACGCTAGTGAAACTTGGAAAATCAAGCACTGAGATGCCTGTAATCTTTTTTACCAAAAGTTGTGCTTCTGTAGCCAAATCGACTGCTTTGTTAAAAATGGTTTTTGGGTTCTCTCTAAGCTGAGCTCTGGCTGCATCTAGATACTAAAAGAAGGTGACTAGGGCTAGTGCTTTGAAGGGTCTGAAGGCACCTACTTATTCTTTCTCTATTTACATTATTCCCTGACAAGTAACATTGATGACTGTGTAAGAGAACATAGAACCTTGTGAGTGGATTGTACAGCTATATCAGCCAACTGTTGAAGAGCTGACTGAGGCAGCTGCTGATGAAATCCTAAGTGTGCTCCATGAGCCTCATCAACTATCAGAGGAATTCCATGAGAATGACAAAGCTTGGAAATCTCACTCAAGTTGCTGCATATACCATGATATGTAGGAGAAGTGACAAGCACTGCTGCTGCTCTGTGACCTTTCACTTCCAATTCCTTAATTGCTTCTTCTACCTGTAGCAATATTCAATCTTCAGATACAGAGGAAAATAACGGAGAAACAAAGAAATATAGACATAATACCAACAGAGACAATTTTTTTAACACAAAATGAAGCAACCATTTTCAGAACTTCCTCGTCTTTAAACATCACCAGCACTCTAATCTTCTCTTCCACGTGTTTTTCCTTGCTCTTCCAAATCAAATATTAAAAAAGGAAAAACTGGATAGCCAAGCTAACTTCTGAGAAAGTTAGATTCATTTAATGATTTAACAGGGTAATGCCATTATCAGAATCCTGTTATCTTGAACATTTCTTTAAGTGTGCCACTATGCTTAAATCAAATTTAAGGTACTGAACTCCAATAATCAAACTAACTCCTAAAACAAAAAGTAAGCAAATTGGATAATCTTAGTCAAGTAGTCAGATAAATAACCACTTATCTAATCATGTATCAGATTTCTCCAGCTGACTTGCCTGTGATGGAGTGACCCCACCAGCAATGTCCCAGTTGTGATCATATTCAGGAATTATGTACATAGGTATTGCCCCAGATAGAACCATAGCAGAAATAGCTGACATGTGAGCATTTCGGGGGAGAATTAGATATTTTCCAGGACAACAAGTTGCCATTATGGCCGCTTGTATTCCACAAGTGGTACCCCCAACAAGAAACCATGTCTCTGATGATCCAAAAAGTTCAGCCGCTTGCTTCTGTGCCTCTAAAATTGGCCCCTCCGGAGAAAAGAGATTGTCAAGCCCAGGAACTGCTGGTAAATCATGTATAAATAGTTGTAAACCAATAAGCTGAGTCAAAGAAGGAGGAGCAGCATGACCTCTGTTATGTCCAGGGAAGTTAAAACTGGCGACATTTTTATTGGCTGAAGATTGTAGAGCACTAACCAATGGAGGAAGGCTAACTGTCTGAGGAATATGTTCGCTCTTTTTAAGAATTTCATCTTTTTTTACTGGCCAGATGGCTTCTGACTTGATACATCTGTCCTGCTTCTTTCCAGGTTCGAAGATGTCTCTTTCCTGTGATATATTTTGAGGAATTAACCGAATTGCTTCCCTGCTATATCTGTCATTCTTCTTTCTTCACTCTGAGATGCCTCTTTCCTGTAATACATGATAAAGAATTAGAAGATTTATGTGCAATGCAGTGTGGTCCTGGGCAGAAATGCACTAGATCAACCTCCAAAAAATAAGGCAACCAACTCTTACATTTATTTGTTCTCATGCCATTTATCCTCTTTCTCTTCTTGCTTTATGAGGTGGACAGTTTCTACTAAAGTGTCTCATCAACATGCTAATATTGAAATACTCTAAACGAGCAAGCTATTATGTTTAGGTGTATGATTACAACTGGTTTTGACTTTTTTATGAGAAAAGAAGTATTATTGATAGCATTAGAATTACATACATCATGGGAAGATTAGGCATCCACCAAAAAGAAAAGGATCAAAATAAATCTTAAAAGAATATTTTTTATAAAAAAAAATTAGAGAAACAGCTGAAACAAAAAAAGATCAAGGAAGAACAGTCAGTCAAGTATCAAAGTCAATGCATTCACCTTTAGCTCAAACAGAAGGCTAAAACTAAAAATTCAGCTTCTCCCAAATAAGCAATGAAGTAGGAAATGGTCCTTCAAAATTCTACTTTCTTTCTTTCCATACCTCAAAGAGAAGAGACCATGAAACACTCATGATTTGGAAGACAAACCAACAAGTACCAAAGACATTAGAAAAGCTAGCCCAAAACCTCCATCCAACATCACAGTAGAAGAAATAATGGTTATGAGACTTAAGCATTCTGAAAACACATGCACACACCTGGGACAAAGCAAGATTTGGCCTCCGAACATGAAGCAAGTCGTTAGCATTGACATTGGAGCCTTCCTACCAAAAGCTTTTGCTTGAGAGGGAGAGGAACCTTCCAAAGACAATGTCCTAGGAACTTTCTGAATGAAATGTTTGGATTAAAATTGCAAGGAAAGACTTTCAGGTAAAATCAACAGAGTTCAAAGACCAATTCCTATGCTTAGAGCTGGAAGAAAAGGTGAGTAGCTCAAGAAGTTTAGGTGACCAAAGCATCAAGAAGAGGTTTTGGAAAATGTTACTTTGAGTATGGACATTGAAGCTCGACATGGGATAGGAGTGTTAACGGGAAGGAGTAAATGATTCCCCAAAAAAATGGGGGGAAGGAAGAGACTATATAATGAAGAACTTGAATGGGTTCACATATAGGTTTTTGGGCTTGGACCAGTTAGAGATAATATATGGATTATAAGGAAAGCTGGTTTTTTTTCTAAAGTTTTGGTTTTATTTAAAAATTGGGTAAATCTTATTTTATCATTTTTAATTTTTTTG